AGATTCTATTGAAATCTAAAATGACTGATTATTCATATTTTTTATTAATTATTCCTGTCCATAGAAACCCACAGCGTTATTAATCAGTGCCGTGGCTTTAATGCGGTTACATTTAATATTTTTTATGATATCGGGTTATGAACAGTCTGAACATACTGTTTTGATAAGACTTAGATACTAGATAATCAGATGTCCTATGCGCAATATTGTGCTCTATTATAAACATAGCAATTCTGAGCACAGCACTTTTGTTTTTTTTTCCCATGCTACTTTGTTGTAGGACTCTTGGCATCTTGTTTCCGGAATCAAATTAGTATGGGATTTTGAATTTTTTGAATGTTTCGTGGTCTTAATGTATTTCCTTAGTGCAGATTTACCTGCCAAATAGTCATCCCCTCAAACCATACAGTGGAAATGGTTTTTGAAATGGCTTCTGATGCATTTGAATTCCGGCATCTCTTCTCAAGCACTTCTGTATTTTTGAATATATTGTTTTTTTTTTGGCCAGTCTCTTGATGTATTTTCATCACTCGATGACATATTAAGAATTCGTGATACAACTGACTACTAACGTCTAACACTACTAACACTAGTCACTACCAACACAGTTAGTTAACACTTTACACTACTAAGTACTAACGTAGTAAAGTACTAACTAGTAACTACTAATAACATAAATGTTGACAGTTCGGTCCCGTGATAAGAAATTAAAGCTGATAATATTATGACGACGCAGATACGCAGCACAAATTAAGGTATATCTTAATAATTCGTGATACTCGGGTTAACCACGATTTAGCATTAACCATAATAACCACAGCTGATATAGATAATATTTATATTATTTATACTTCGTATTTATTATCAATGTCAATAATTATTTAAAATTTTAAAATAATGAAATTGACATATATATTGAGTATAAATTCAAAATTCTCCAGATTATCCCCAGATTTCCTCAAAAGTACATAAATCTTCACTGTATTCTCCAATAGCACCAAAAATCCCCAGAAAAAAGAAAAATCCTCAATTTCTATGGTTCTTGCATTTTGTTATGAAAGAGTGGTCAAGGTTATTTATAGATACACAATTCTGAGATTTTCGGGTGCATTACGGGTGTTTACGATGAAACTAAGGTCATCCACAATTTTTTTTTTAAATGTAGCATAGATCATTACTATGTTGTCTAAGGAATAATACAATATTAAATCGGTGTGAGTGATTTTCGAGGATGGTTCCTATGCTGCATGTATTATTAAACATAAAGTAATAAAGTATAACACAAATAAATGGTACGTGAGCTGCTCACTAGAGCGCTAGTTCCTAACGATTTTCAATGAAGTCAACGCATGCACTCTCCCGTCTGCGTTTTAAACCGCTCTCGGCGCTAGTGTCGTCGACACGTCTAATATATGAAACTTCCCATTTCGTCCGCTCCTCGTAAACCACTCATATTCTATTTGTCAGTTGTCCACTGACGGGTCGTTGTCTTTACTTACTTTACGATCGTGCCGTGTGATGCTCATTCTAGTATTCTAGTATGATATTTTTTGTCCACGCCTTATTTTGCCTGATCCAATATGGTGTTTTTCTTTGAAAATATATTTCGCAGAAAATGAAAATTTAAAATTTAAAAATTATAAAAATAAATGTTAACACGCACATAAGCAAACTTCTACTGTATGATTTCGTTGTACTTTATTACTACTGGAACGGTGAACAGACACGATGAATGTTGATCTTGGTTTGTTTTTTCCACCCTTCATTTTTTTGGCTTGCATGGTTGTTGTAAACTGCAAATATTTTGCTAGAATCGCCATGCGCCCATATCGTGTGTGAACGTTGTTGTCTTACATCAAATATCGGTAGGTGTTGAAATGTGTGTACGAAAATAATATAGGTACCTATATGATTAGTACAAAATTATAGTGTCAATCAGTTTTGATTGTTACCGATGATTTGATAATTACAATTGACCATTAATGGTTTACATACCCAGTTTGCAGAGCTGCCGTGAGCTAAACTTTATGTGGTTACATGGCTAGCAAAAGCTTTGTCTGCCATTCTAGTTGATCTGCTAATCGGAAAATCTGCTATATATGACAGGGTTTACTGGAGTCATATCGTCATTATATTAATCGATGATCCGTAGATAGGTACTTACACAGGTTTTAATTGATGAATAAAGTTTAAATGTTTAATGGATTGGGCGATGAAAATAGATACAAACTAAAAATAAAAATACTTGAAAACACTTATTATAACAATTTGTATTGATGGCGGCTGTGTTCAATTATATAAGTTGAGACTCAAGTCGTACAACTAATATAATAAATAATGCAGTAAACCTATACGTTTGTTATGTTTCTGTCTATAAATTGTTCTTGTAATAGCCAAAGTGTAATTTTAACTATAAAAATATAGATTTTAGAAATATTGGCGGCTATTATTTATTAGCTTGATATTTTATCCATTCACCCACCAAGTACCAACATCAGGATGAATACCAATATATACGATGAACAGTGATAATAGCGAATCAGTAATGGTGTGCATAGAAAAATACAAAATAGCAATAGCTGCTAATTATCACTGCTATTTTACAATAGCAATACCAATATCTAAAACAAATAGCATTTTACCATCACTAAGTTGCAGTAAAATATTGTATGATCTACGGCCTTTACGTTTAAATGTATGGCCAAGTAACCTATCGCTGTAGTTCACGAATCCACCGCATAAGTTATACAGCGGAGCATAGCGCGAGTCGCAACCTGTGTAGGTAACCGTGGTAGAGACACAGTTATAATAGAACTATTTAGGTACGAATAATATAAAATGCACATGCAATTATATAACAATGAACATATTATGAGGTATATAATTGTACAGCCATAATTTATCATTAACTAAATTTAATATCCATAGTGTTTCCTATCGACATCAGTATATTTGTAGGTGATGGTTTTAAGTATGTTTTAGAAACATTATTGACTAAAAACCTTTCTTAATTTCTGGTGGATTTGGTATTAATTCGAAAATTTAATCGTCCCAGTAAATAAGGTCAGTTTTTTAGTTATTTAATAGTTTTAATAATAATGAATAATGAAGTGTACTTCTTGTGTTTAGCGATTATAAATTAAAATATGATAATATTCCATTATAATCTGAATGTCGTGGGCGTTCCACTTAAAATTTAAATGCTAAAAAAGTAGAAAACGATTCTGAACAGCTTCGAGATTTGAGTTATCCCTATGTTATTTGAAGACCAAATAAGGGATGCATATTCTAATTGAGATCTGACAAACGCAAAAATACTTTTAAAGGCATTTAAATTATTAAAATTAGTACAAGTTCGTGTAATGAAACCGAGATTTTGGAACGCTTTATTGGTTATTTTATTAATGAGTTCATTAAAACATAGTTAAGAATAAAACATGGTTCCTAAGTTGGTAAATGATTTCAACAGTTCAATAGAAACATTGCTAAATTTATAATCAAAATAAATATGAAATTTTTTAATATTAAATGATAGTATTTTGCATTTGTTGATATTGAGGTTCAGACCATTTAAATGACACCAATCATTAATCTTCTTTATATATAAAAATGGAGACAAAAAATTTGAAATAGCATCAGTTGAGAACGGCTGGGCCGATTTTGCTCAAATTTTTTTTAAATGATAGAGAATGTTGGTGAGCGGGTTTATAGCATAAATTATGGACCTAACTCATGTGAATTAGAGATTTGGAGACAAAAACTGAGTTACACCGGTGGCGCCCTCTAGCAGATAAAAATAAAAATATAAATATAATATAAATAATAATACAAATATCGATAATAGCAGGGCTGGAAATCGATTAATATCGATAAAAATCAAAAAAAAAAATATTAGAGAACAGCTGGTCCGATTTGTCTCAATTTTTTTTTAAGATGTTCGTAATTAATAGGTGAAGGTTTTTACGAAGGAAAATTTTTAAAAAGTCAACTGAATAATTAGAAAAACTGCAATAACTATTTATTGATGTCTGGGATTTGAACTCGATACCGTTGTCTTTATTTACTCTATGGTGTATTATATTATATTGGTTGCTATTGGTTAATCAGGCATGTTTGTTGATTTGTATTATTATTTTTTGTCAATATATATATATATATAAATGAATGATGGTGTGTAGATTAGACCTATGGGAAGAAGATACGCTAATTTAAAAAGGGTTAAATTTGGTTTTTTTTTATTCATCTGATTTTAGTACGGTTAGGTCAGGTTAGGATTTATAGGTATGTGGAATTAAGTAAAAACTTCAACCTTGGTATAACTTTGGTACTTTTTGAGTTGAATCATATACTTACGTACAAACAGCACGGGGTCCGCGATCTACCACAGGTAGATTGCCTACCTGATAATATACTGCTACGAAACAGAATTTTTATTCCGGGCAACAGAAAAGTTAAGATAAATCTAGAACATCATACACTGAATATTAAATAACGCATTGAACAATGTTTGAGTCATATAGAGTTGGTACATTTAACGGGAAACGAAGTGCACGGGATCAGCTAGTTGAATCATATTTTTTTAATATTTTAGCATCATCTGCGAACAGTCTTGTAAAAGATACTTTTAAAATTGTATTAAAATACAGATACAATTAATACATTCATTCAGAAAGTAGGTTAATAAAGTACATTTCAAATACTTTTTTTATTTTACTTCTCTACAAGTTAGTTTTCTAAACGAATGTTGTAATTACTAATTTATAATCGTCATGATTCGTTTAGGTATTATTAGATCTTCGTGTTCCACTTTCAATTGTATACTGAAAAATTAAATTAAAGAAACATGTTATATTATATAAATTCTTTAATAATAGGTACCTAATTGGTGATTAAACAGTGGTTAATGAAATATAAATGATGTATATAGAGTAATTAAAATAAATCATTCCCAAAAATATTGTTGCATTTAAGTAACACGGTTTTTTAAAAATGTTCATCTCTCATTTTTCCTCGTTTTTTTTTGATAAAATAGCTCGACCAACACTAAATACTCGCTCAACTGGATCACTAGATGGCAGTGGAGTGTTATATTTAATAAAAACGTCCTTCAATGTAGGAGTCAAATTAAGAGTTTCCAATTTCTTTGTTGGACTTCGCTTTAAGAAGTCACCCAATTCCGTTTCAATGTTTTCCGGTTTTTTTTGTGTCCAAGAAAATAATGATGAGTTAGCATTGTCATCACTTTCACTATCAACATCATTTTCACTTATGGGACTGTTTAAACATCCACCTAATGTTTTATTTGCACTAGTCAACATAACAGCATCCCGCAAAAGAGTAACTGCAGTATTTTTTTGTATTCATTAGCTGTCCACGCTGTTTTAAAAAATGGATGTGAATTCGCTGAAATTATGAGGAATTCATCATTTAAAAGTTCTCCAAATCTTTTATTAACTCCTTCATGGAGAGAAGTTATTAAAGGCTGACAATAACACATGCAGTGGTTCATCTTAAAATGGAAAAACACCCGCCTATGGAGAAACTAATGAAATAGTGGCTAAACCAAAATAGTTTTTTTATGTAGCCATCCTACCAGAACTTCTACGGTGGTATTTTACTAATACTTAAACTGTGTCAGTAAAAAATAATATGGAAGTGATGCAAAATAAAGACATATAGAAAGGCAAAATATGAAATTGAACCTTCTAGTAATAAGAAATTCAATTAATGTATGATTATGTTCGATAGTTAAAAGGAAGTTATTAATAAAAACTTTTCAACCTTGAACAGTCAACTATGTAACTATATTATAGACATGCTCCTTCCAAAAACTCCCTCATCTCATATGAGTAATTAGCAGATATTTCATATCTATAAGATTTTTTTTTAATTCTTGTTATAGTATTGATCAAGTTAATGCTTTGGATTTGACTAAATGTGATAATGATGAAATTATTGTGGATCATGAGACTAGTACAAGTGTAACTGACGAGGGCAAAAAGTGTACAACGTAAAGACAAATTATTATTAATTGTTGCGATAAAACGTAAAATATATTATTTTGAAGTGGTGGCTAAAAGGATTGCATGTTAAGAATGACACAAATTAAAGTTAAAGACTACCAAAACGATAATAATGCATTTAAGAAAGCAATAACACTGGAACCCGAAAGGATCAGATTACAAAATGAGATAGGGTGGTGAAAAAGTCTATGTCCTATGACATTGAGTATGATTTAAAATAGGAATCATTAATTTGATTATTCCACCCCCCTCGAAGAAACTATAAAATATCACATATTGTTTTAGGAAAGCAATCATCAGGTGGAAGATGGATGATGACTCATAATATGGTAGTGATGCAAATCAAAGACATATAGAAAGGCAACATATGAAATTGAACCTTCTAGTAATAAGAAATTCAATTAATGTATAATTATGTTCGATAGTTAAAAGGAATTTATTAATAAAAACTTTTCTACCTTGAACAGTCAAACTACAGTCAACTCTGTAACTATATTATAAGACATGCTCCTTCCAAAAACTCCCTCATCCTATATGAGTTATTAGCAGATATTTCATATCTATAAGATTTTTATTTAATTCTTGTTATAGTATTGATCAAGATAATGCTTCGCATTTGATTTAATGTGATAATGATGAAATTATGCTACTGTTTTTGTGTTTTTAAAATGTTGACATCAGTCTTGCAGCGTCTTGCAGTATTTCAGCAGTACTCTCGGCCGACATACTGGCATATATCACTAAAAAATAAAATGAGGTTTAAATAATTTAATTATTCCATTTATAAAACATGCATTACTTACACTGACCATTGACATCTCCCACATCATGAGTACTTTCGACAATCGGTTGTACAGGTGGTTGGTGGTCGTCTGACGCGTCTTGCAGTATTTCAGCCGTATCTGTTCAGCTCTGTTAATATTTGGTAGTACAAATAATCATCAATCAGAATGGTCCTCCTTAAATATATTTTTTTTGGATCAGACGTAAAACTAACTAATATATTATTATATAACTTATAAGTATTAATAATTAACTAACATGTTCGTTCCCAGCTTGCAGGACGTCTAATTCTACCATGTTCGGAACTTGTGCTTTAAAAAATAAAAAATTGAAAATTACTTTCAGTTACTTTTTTTCTGTTAATGGTAGGAAAATGTATGAGGAATATCTTATAAATTTTCAAGTATTTCGACAAGTGAAAAATATTTTATCGGCAATAATTTAGAAAAAACGAATAAATATCGAAATTTTCTGGTGCTTGTAAATAGCTCTAAAAGAGAAGAATTCAATGGTGTATAGAAACTGTATAATTATAATTAAATGTATTTTGGTTTAATTAGTTTCTTATAGTTACCTTTAAAAAACTAAATCGACTTTGTCAAAAACTTCAGTGGACAAATTGGTAAATTCATAATAGTTTTGCGTTGACATGACAAAACTTCCGAGGAATTAAGATTATTATGCAGTTATTTGTGAACCTCATAGATTTCTTTATATTACGAGGCATGTCCAGAAATTAAGTGTACTCAATTTTTATAGGCTTCAAAAAAATGTATTAAAAAAAAAAATTACGTGGTTACATTAATATATTTGTGTGCTATTCTTCTACATAGTCGCTATCTCTTTCATTACAGGTTGTGAGACTGCAGAATCATTTTTTGATGCCTGACTTGTAGAGCTCTGCCGGCACCTCCTTTGTCCACTTGTCGACCGCCCTCTTCGGTTGAAAATATTTTTCCAACCATGCACAAATGGGAGTGAATAAACGTTAATCTGATGGCACCTGGTAAGGGGGAATACGGGGGGTGGTTTGAAACATCCCATCCAAACCAGTCCAACAATTGTTTCTTGACATTTGTCGTGCAGAAGGTAGACTCCACTTGTTAACAGACCCCTCTTTTTATTTTAAATCGCTAAATTTTTTAAAATCACAATAACTCGCTGCGTTGATGGTCTCCCCCTGAGGTTTATATTAAATCAATATGATGCCTTTGTGGTCCCAAAACACTGATACCATGATTTTTTTTTGATGAAATGGTAGTTTTGAACTTTCTCTGGTTGAGGGTGAAGTGGTGTGACACCACTGTTGAGACTGTTTCTTGGTTTCAGGCGTATAATGTGCAACCGATCGACATGTTTTATAAACAAAATTCCTGTGACCACAGTTGTAAACGTACTGAACTCGTTCTGGTCTTGTTTTATAAGAAAAGGAGTAAAGCTATACAACAATGTATTCAACGTAGTGAAAATATATTATTAACGGTCGTGAGAGCCTCAGTACACTTACTTTCTGAACATGCCTCGTATATTTAATTTTAAAGAAAGTTAAGAGTATTTATTTTGTATTAATATTGATGATTAGATTATTTTAATAATAGATTGATTACAAGTAGAGAACTATGTTTCATTATGAATATATGGTTGTATTTATTTATTTATTTATTTTTTTATTATTCGTTATACGGGCTTAGCCCTTTTTGACATTACAATATATCTTATATCATGTTAGACATTTTACAAAAGACAAAACTAAATTAAATATATCCAGCAATTATCTGATGACAATAAAAACTTAAACATTAAACAAAAAAAACTTTAACTTAAATTTGTATACCTATTAAAAATTTAGCAATTCGTCGAATGATGGTTCTGCATTGGCAGACGACATTAGGCGTCTTAAAGGGGTGTGGTACAATCGGCCGACAGACATTTGGTCGACAGACATTTGGCTGACACGCAATAGGCCGACATACTAAATGGCCGACAAATTTATAGGCCGACACGCATTAGGCCGACATATTAAATGGCCGATTAAGTAATTTTATGTTGAGATAGGTAAATTATGCACACACACAGATATATATATATATAGGTGATACTTATTCTTAAAAATAAAATTTAGTGTATTGTTAATAATTATAAGTACATTTTATATTCCTAATATGTTTTAAAAATTAAAAAATTTGATATTTATACATAAAAAATAAAAAATACTAATAAATTATAATTGATAATTATGTTATATAGTTAAATGTTAATAAATAAAAATTAATAGTGCAAATTGTATGCAATACCTCTTATTGTCTCGAGGGTTGTTCTGTTTTCTTTATCATTTAGAATAGTTTGCAACCATGTTTAATTTAGTATATTCTATATTTTGAAATATAGACTTCAACATTTCAAAAAATTGACTTGTGTTTTTTAATTGTTTATTTTGTAGATATTTCCAGAATTGATATGGCAATTTATTATCTTGAAATAAATTGATCATTAATTATTGGTAATATTATATGGTAAATGATTTATTAACCTAAAGGTGACTACCGCGGTAGTACAATATGCACTATGCCGGTAGAGACGAATCGGTTTATAATTCATTAAAAATCAAATTTTGGTACTACGACTTAGCCAATCATATCCCTGGATTTGTTAGGGTCTCTACTATGCTGGGGATGAATTTGGGTGAGTAACAGTAGCACACAGTAGTGGTGAGGTCGAGTTGTCCAGAAAACGGTACTTGATGCAGGATTACGAGGGAAAAATGCTCGTTTAGCCACAACTTCAAGTGCAATTCGTTTAATAGGCGACCTAAAACACTTAAGTGGTATAGAGTAAGTCATTTGGAGTCGAATTAAATCATTTTCAAAGCAGTAGAACAAAATTTGAGATTTTTAGTAATTTAATTTCACACTATATGTCCGCCATACTATAAAATGCACTACCGCGGTAGATACCTTTCGGTTAATAAATCATTAAAAATCAAAATTTTGTACTACGACCAATCATATCACCGAAATCGTTAGGTTATCTGGTATGCTGTAAATGCATTTTAGATGCATACAATTAGCTAACACAGGTGGTGGGGTCGACTTGTCAAGCAAACGTTACTTGGTGCAGGATTACGGTATATTGCAGTATATGCCAAAAAAAGTTAAAAACACATGGTTGGTTCCAAAAACATATAACAACACATGCCCCCCATAAGATAAAAAAAGTGATCTCAATTATCACCAAAAAACCATACATAAGAAACAGGAGTTAATCAAATGTCTTAATTGTACCAAAATATATGCAACTGAAAAACAATTGAAAATACACAATACTGATGCACATTTACTCTTAAAACCATACAAAAGTGCATTGTGCGAACTATCATTTGGTATGTCAATAGCACTCTTCAGACATCGTCAAAAAGTAATACATTAAATGTATGTAACACAAATACAGTTTTATAAAAAAAGACAAATCAAAGACATATAGAAAGGCCACATATGAAATTGATTCTTCTAGTA